GCCTCTGTGGCCGGCACCACGCTTGTCCGTTTCGCGATAGAGGAGAAAGTTGCCGAGGATGCGGGAGGGGCTCCAGAAGAAGCCGTCTGTCCAGCGCTTGATGCCACTCTCGTCCTCGTCAAAGACAAAGACGGACCCGGAGGTGATCATTTTTCGTTCCGAGTCTACGAGACGGCGGGTGACTCTCGGGATGAGGCCGCGGCGTGCGGCTTCGAGGATGAGGAGGGCATCGCCGGTGGTCTCTATCCAGCCGGACCAGGGGGGCTCTGTCCAGGTCGAGGCGGGCTGGGCAGGCGTGGTGGAGGTTGCGTTTGAAGGAGAGTTTGTAGACATCTGTAATTGAGTATTATGCTACGGTTGCGAATCATGATGGAGATAAAACAAGAAGCATCAGCCACTTTGAATCAAAGTTTGTGCGCAACCCAGACAAGGTTGACTCACCGAGCAGGTAGATTTGCGGGTCGGAGGCGTGAACGTGCTCTTTTTAGCAGCCCAGCACACATTTCACGCCACACTTGTTCCATAACCGCCAATGGGTCCGTGCACGCTCAATACTCGCTCATTCCAACCGTCGTTCCACTAACAACCCCCCCGACCCCAGAATGCCCCAGCTCGTCGAGAGCAGTGGCCACGTCCGGCCTACAACAAGGTTTCCCGGCACGACGCTTAGTCATCCTGGAATCACTGTCCGCGAAGGTTCCTTTCGCATATGTGGGTCACTCATATGTGTGCAATCCTACAGGTTGCTCCTCGTAGCCTGCCTTCACACTGGCAACGATGCAGCATGTCCTGCTTGACACCCAACCGTGACGTTTATTTTCTGCTGTTTTTCTGTGCCTCTGCAAGTTCGGTCTTGACGTCTATGCGCCGAATTGCTTGTCGAACTCGTCCCCCCTCGCGGCGGATTTCTTGCTCTAGCAGCACAGCTTGTACGGCCCTGTCATGGCATATATCCCCTTTTCTCAGACTTGTCCGCGATATATTTACCCTCAAACAGGACACCTTCGTGGCAAGGCTTCCCATCCATGCTCACATCGCTTGAGCGACAAGTCCGACTCGACCCGCATGCCCTTGCTTTCTTGTCCCCTGATTCTCCACCTTATGGCTCTGCTGATGAATCCGTTTCGCCTTCATCAAAAGTCAGAGGTTCACCCGCGGATCTCCTTTTCTGTAACAAACCCTCGGATTCGACTTCTTTTGTCAGGAATGGGAATGGTAACCAGGTTCAGCTGCCTGGTTTGTCTTTATTCATCAGCCCGCCATTGATGGATAGGCTTCGACTCGGCACCTTGCCGTTTTCTCCCCGCAAAATCAAATACGTCAGTGCGCGCGTCGCACGACCGTCGTCTTGTGGAGAACTGGCGCAAACGGCCACTGCAGATATTCAGTGTCGTATGATCTGCGATCCCGATTCACAGGGGGTCTTTTGACTTGTACTCGATGGTTTGAAACCCAGCCAGTTAATGTCCGTTCCAAAAATGTGGCAGTCGTCCATTGGCAACCTGCACGTAAACACCGATATTTCCACGAGCACCGGAGTTGGTGGGTCAATGCCGCTTCCCTCCACCAAACATTTTTCAAGAATTCCCTCAGACATGACGGTTGGTTTCACACCAGCGCGCCTAAATATTCTATAAAATGGCGCTCCAGGATAAAGTGAGCGACGGTTAGCATGGCTACCTTGCGTCTTTTGACGCTGCTTTTTCCGCTGATAGTCCCGGTGAGCGTCGGGGCCGTGTCTCCTGTCACAAGCGGTCTTCCAGGATCATGGAAATACGCCGCTTGCTACGTGGATAACGCATCCGGACGGGTGCTCGGAAATGAATACGACGACAGCGCGACGACGGTCGAGAGTTGCGTCGCCCACTGCAGCGCAAGCAATTTCACCCTCGCAGCGATCGAGTACAGTACACAGTGCTGTGAGTCACATCCCGTTCGTCGTGCGTCAGCTGAGGACGCTCCCAGTCTGTGGTGATTATCTGGTGAACGGCGCTGTCACGGCACCCGACAGTGACTGTAACATGGCATGCGGGGGTAACGCGGCGTGAGTCTCCACCTTGGCCATGTACGCTTCCTGACGGTTTCCAACGACGCGTAGCGAGGCGTGCGGTGGCCCCAATCGCCTCTCGGTGTATACGTCGACGGGAAGCGTGACGGTGCTGGCCGTGCCTACCATTCAGAATACGAGTCTTCCCGGATTATGGAAATACCAAGGGTGTCTCACGTGAGTGGTCATACTCTACCTGGGTGGTCAGGTTCTGACTACACCTCATCGAATAGCGAGCCGGCGGCCGGGGGGAGAGTGTTCCCATACGAATTGGATTGGACGACGAACAACACGGTCACCGCTTGTTTGAACCAGTGCGCTGCGTTCGGTTTTCCTGCTGCTGGACTGGAGTACGGGCAACAGTGCTGTACGTCTTCGTACTCTTCTTGGTCCCGACGTGTGTGTGGTGAACGCTTGAGATCCTAGTCTGCGGTGACGTTACCGATGTCACTACCAACGGCGGGACGTATGTCGCCGATTCAGAGTGCAACACGGCTTGTTCTGGGGACCCTATTCATTATTGTGGCGCTGGAAACAGGCTGTCGACCTACTACTGGTCCGGGACCCCGCTAAACGTCTGGAACACACCGTCAAATACCGGGTATTATGAGGCAAGTCTTTTGAGATCGCTCCACCCTCCGCAGTGAAGACTTACGATCATCAGTTCCTCATCGGTGGGCTTGTCGTACCCTTGATCGCGACCGTAGGCATCAACAACAAGGTCACCTTTCTCGAAAAGTACGGCACGTCCGAGTATGCGAACTCGACGGGGGCGTATGAGCTGGATATCAGTCTGGTAGACAACTACCAGCTGGCATGGCGTGAGATGCACGTCAAGTCGGACGTGTTTTGTTCGGGAAGTATCATCCTCCCGGATAAAGGTGCCCGCCAGATCAACGTCGGTGGATGGTCGCTCGAGTCGACGTATGGAGTCAGGTTGTATTATCCTGATGGAAAGCCGGGGGTGAACGGGACGCATGATTGGGAGGAGAACGTGAACGAGCTGACGCTTCAGGTCTGTTGTGTTCTCCAGCTTCGACTTTCTTTTGGGGTTCACGTGGCTTTACAGCGTGGGCGGTGGTACCCGACTGCGATGATGATGCCTAATGGCAGTATTCTCGTCGTGGGTGGGGAGACTGGCAGCAATGCGACTCCTCAGCCTAGTCTAGAGATTCTCCCCAAACCTCCAGGTGGTGATACGGTCATCACGCTCGACTACTTGCAACGCACGGACCCGAACAACTTGTACCCATTCTTACTAGTACTTCCGAGTGGGCGCTTCTTCATCGGTGAGGCATACGATATCAAGTCGGCACGTCTACTCATGTCGCATGCTCTCAGGGTACTACAACGAAGCTCGCATATTAGACCCGGTGACGTTCGATACCGTCAAAGAGCTGCCCAACATACCCGGTGCGGTGAACAACTTCCTCGCGGGACGCACGTATCCGATGGAAGGATCGGCAATGCTTCTTCCACAACATGCACCCTACACCGACCCGATCCAGATTCTCATCTGTGGTGGGTCGACACCGGGCGCTGGTATAGCACTGGATAACTGCGCGTCCATTACGCCCGAGGCTGCGAACCCGACATGGACGCTGGAGAGAATGGTGCGTGTATCCATGGTATGCTGGGAACCTCCGTTTTCCTGATACAAACGGATGATCTGGTAGCCATCGAAGCGAGTCATGCCGTGCATGGTCACGCTTCCAGATGGGTAAGCCAGCCGACCTCCAGCCGCATCGCACGTGAGGCTTACAAAACTGGCTTTACAGAACGTACATGATTCTGAATGGCGCACACCAAGGCGTTGCTGGGTTCGGACTGGCGACCGATCCCAACTACAATGCGATCCTGTACGACCCAGCCAAGCCTATCGGCCAACGCTTCTCGATCCTGGGCAACACGATCGTCGCACGGCTTTATCATTCTGAGGCGACCCTCCTTCCGGACGGCCGCGTGTTGGTCTCGGGTTCGGATCCGCAGACGCCTGGGTTTCCGGAGGAAATGCGGATCGAGGTGTACGTGCCTCCGTATTTGAACCAGGGGTTCAAGCAGCCTACGTTTACGATCGCGGAGACGGACTGGGCGCTCGGCGGAACGTATACGATCGTTGTAACTTTGTTCCAAGGAACGACAGGCGGGATGCGCATCTCGCTCGTCGCAGGTGCGTTCCCCACCCCCCTCTCGTGCCATGCGAGGATACTGACGATGACCAACGCAGCCTCGTCAAGCACACACGGCAACGTCATGAGCGGCGGCCGCATCCTCTTCCCTGCCTTTTCCTGCGCCGGCACGACGTGCACCATCACGGCGCCGCCCAACGCGTACGTGTGTCCGCCGGGATGGCATCAGCTGTTCGTGCTGGACGGACCGACGCCGTCGCATTCGGCGTGGGTCCGGATTGGGGGTGATCCGGCGAGGCTTGGGAATTGGCCGGATTATCCTGATTTTACGTTGCCTGGGGTTTGAAAGGTGGCGGCAAGGAGTGGGGTGGGAGTGGGGACTCGAGGGGCGCGCGGCGTCAGGGAGGACGGTTCGGCATACCCATATACCCAGTCTTGTGCGCACGCGCGCGCGAGGAAGCTCTTCTGGACCTTGTCGCAAGGCTAAAAAAAAGACGGTCGTTTGTCGATTGATTTATTTGTAATTACAGGCTTGAGGATTGAACTTTTTTTTCTATCGCTGTATCTATTCACAAAATTGCAACATTTGTGCTGAACAGACGAGACGTTGGTGGAGCTCATGCGTACAAGACCTTATTAGTAAAGAGAGGAAAGTTAAACGGGGAGTGAGTGCCATGGAGTCTAAGTATGGCGTAAAGACCGACTCGGCTCGAGTCTCCGATCTGTCCGAGCTCTACGGTACTCGTGTCCCACTTCTCTATCCGCAACCAGGTCCGCAACTGAGTCACCTGCTCGATTGGTACCTCTCCACCTGTGAAGTAGAGGCCCGCTTAGCTCAGTGGTAGAGCGCGTCACTTGTAAAATGAGTTTATGATGAGGTCGGTTGTTCAATCCAGCCAGTGGGCATACTTTTTATCTGATGGACGATCCACAAACTCCGTCGTTTACGGGTGGAGAACGTGCGTGCCCCTCGGGTTGTAATTTTCCAGGTCAAGTGTGAACGGGATCTGGTTCTTGTCACGATGGACCAGCCAGTCCGTTTACACCATCATTGACGCACGATCGCTTCCTCCCTCAAGTGTTACATGACTTGGGGGCGTTAACTTCGGATGACACATGCGAGGGCAGGATAGCACTGCAAAGACTGCGATACGGAACGTAACCCGGTTACCGGACTCTGTAAAAGGTGAAAAACGCGCGCTAGGTTCACTCTGAATCAGTGTCATCGGGTGATCACGAGCCCAAGACTGACAGACTGTAATGCAGCTCCCCAAAGAACTTTTGAGCACAGTCCATCAAATTCGAAAACGAACATTGCCCCAACCAATGTGTGTGGTAGTACATCGTCCGGGGGACTCGAAACGAACCATAATGGCAAGAAGTGGAATCGTGTCTCTGACTCGCTAACGAGCGCAGTGCTTGAAATTCTCGTTAATCATGGACTCGGAGTCCATGCTGCGTGGTACATTTCCTTGAGCCGCTTGTGCACATACTCTCCAGCAGTGATGGCGCCATATTTCGCCGGCCTGTCGGCAGACACGCAACTTGGTATGGGCTGCAAAGAATGTTGTGCACGATGACCGTTTTGCCTTTTTTTTCGATTCTTTGAAAAAGTCACGCACCTCGATCTTCACTTGATAATCTGTACCGAAGAACAATGGGATAGAATACCTCTCCTTGCCGCTTTTATTTATGGCTCGATGAACGGTGGACTTGAAGACATCATCTGTCGGACAAGCGCTTCAATACCCTTCGCTTTCTGATAGTAATACAGGGAATCGCTCACTTGTCCACAATGCAAGTTGGTCACCAATGCTAAGATGGATGTCGTGAACACCCAGAGAAGGTCCGAAGGGTACAGCTCACTTGATGACCAATGTGTCTTTAATAGCAGGTGCGTCAATCCACCGCTTCTCCGAGTCCATGATTTGAAGAGCTTGAATTCCCGGTTGCTGCCAGAGGATAGTGAAGCACCGAAGGAAAAAACTGAGTTACAGTAATTCAGCACCCTGCTGATTCTCTGACCTCGAAACTATGGGAAACATGAGCAAGAGCAGAAAAGTGGCAAACGATGCCAAGTACTCAGTATGGGCACCGATCCCGGGGACATCATCATCAATCTCGGGATGTCCGTCCTGCAACGGATAATGAAGCATTTTCATGATTGCAGCCGAATTCTGAGTCTGGAAACAGCATCCAATAAGCTTTCTCGCAGAAACGATTGGTTCCGCACGACTAAACCTACCTTGTCAGTGAAATAAATTTCGGGCAGGTCGAGAGCCAGGGCAAAAAGTGGGAACAAAGCCTTGCCAACGTTCACTGCTGCGTGGCTAGAAAGAAACCTTGAAAAACACAAGGCTAGTTATTTGTAGGTTAACCTGACGCACTAGTACTCAAGGCAGGCTCTTCTGAATCCCGGACAGTCGTCTGAGGGCCATACATTAGCACCCGCCATCGCACCGTCGTCTGCTCTCTCCTCGTCGTGCGGTTTTGGTTCGATTTCTTCGCATCCGATTTCAAAGCCTTCATGGAAGTCGCCTTTATCGTTATTAGCTGGATCGATGTTGGAATCAAGGGGCGGATTGTATCCTTTGAAGTTGGCCACAGTCTTATGGTGAAGCTTCGTGACGAACCAACTCAGAACTGGAGCCCAGCTGTGCGATGGTATGATAAGAGCCATACCTTCATCTTTGTCGCCATCGGAAGACTGAAATACGTCTGCGCTGCGGTAAAAACGTTGTCCAAACACGACTGTGGAATGCCATGGTTTTGTACTAGGGAAAGAAAGTACGATGAGGCCGACGAGTCGGTCTCTAGGATGACAACGAGCACGCACTGTAGAAAAATCCAACTCGCATGCATGCATCTCTGATCTCGTGCGCTGTGGCCAATCTTCCTTCAGGCGTACCACACTTGCCAAGGTCTCTACGATGGATGTCAGTCAAAAGGCGCGCTTGCCGGACGACTGGCTTATAATCATCAGACTCACATGATTGGAATACTGGTGAACGCGCCAGAATTCACGCCAGCTGCAGTCGCTGCCAAGGACATGATGCGTGAAGCTTCGAAGAGAGGGTAACTCCACACGAAGTTGCCACGAGGTTCGATCGCAGTCGACCCAGCATCGCCGCGTCCGCGACTCAGTTAGCAATGGTTACGTCACACGAACATTGCCCATCAGAACAATTCGACAGCATCTTTTCTTATTGGTGACGGGTACTTACGCACATCTGTCTCCATTTAGGTGGGCATTGCTATGATTCACCACATGCGATGTCGCTAACTCTGAAACTTCGGCCAGCTCATTATAATTAAACGTTCATTTTGGCCGTTTGACCGATGATCGGTGATGGTGACCAAGGCGCGGCATCGTCCAAAGAGAACATCAGATCAGTGCATCACAGCTTTTAGATGACGATAATGGTATATAATTCGCCTCAGCTGGGATTGTCGTGGAACACCCTCCATCATGCCAAGCCTTTCTCCTGCGTACTTTCAGTGGCTCAGGAAGCAGCAGACAATCAAGGTATGTGACATAGCTGCAGAGGCACCAGCTGAATGAACTCGTACTCATGTTCGTCCAGTATTGCAGAGGTATGGTGTGACGACCATGTTCTTTGCCATCATGATGGGCTCATTTTGTATCCCTTACAAGTCGCCCCGCTATCGATATGGGTACGTGCACCTTTTCACTGACTACACCCAAGGTTCTCATAAATAGCACAGATGTTTGATTACCTCCTCACCTTTGAGGAAGAGGTATGCAGAATGCGAACCCTTGATAGACCTTGCTTCACACGCTCTCTATCGAAGGTACGTCTGATGAACAACAAGGGCAGCTGGGGTATCACGCATGTGTTGTACATTCCTACTCGATTCTTCCCGCTAATAGGTTCGCTGTGTGCGGTCTATAGTGTGTTACTTCCACTATTCTCGAATTTCAGGATTTCTGACGTGTTCTCCAGATGCGTTAGTATTGACACGACCGCTGGCGACGGTAGGTCATTCCGTCTAACAACTGCCCAAGCGCTTACGTTCAGTAGTGCATCGCTCTCTACCGAATTGCAGAAAGTGAGTACACCTGATAATCAGATTCAGTCGTAAAAACAGGGACGTAACTACTAGTCACTTTATTTTTGGGTATGTTCGCCGCCGAGGGTATGATAGACGCTTGATGAAACGAGCATGTGCACTTACGGCCACACCCAAGGATTGCTCTTGATCCGAACCATGGCGTTGTGGAGCCACAAAAGGATCGTCTGCCAAGCTCTTATGGTCACTTACGGCGTAGGTCATCCAGGGTTCGAGATGCAACACGTGCATCAGTTTGACCTGTTCAATTTGCTAGATTGTCGGCACCGTGATGTTGGTCTGCTCCATCATATCGACGACCCTCAAGTTTGAAGCCATCTGTACGGAGACAACCTCGTCTGTTACGACTGCCTTTGCGACTAGGCTCAGTCAGGTCACTGTTGGAATGTTCTCGAGCGCTGCCTTCTTTGAGCTTGGTAAGTGCTGAATGCAGGAATGTGTGTATGACCGCACATCTCGCACCTGACAGTCGTGCTCGCCCTGACCCTCTTGCATGGGTATATGCTGCGTCGATCCGGCCTTCGGACCATGGGCAATGTCGCGGCTTCCGTTACTCAGGGCAATATAGCCTATACTTTGTCGATTTTCCGTACGTGACTCCTTCCAATCAAATTTGTGAACCACTACTTATATTGATCATGGAAATGAACGCAATAGTGACGTCGATCGCCAACATCACTTTCTTTCTCTTGCCAGTCGGTCGGATGCCTAGTGGCTTTCCACAGATACTGACGCATTTCCCTAGCTCCAGGATGGCTGGAATGGTCTGCTTACGACGTGAGTTCCTGGGTTTGAGTTTGTTGTTTGACAACCTCTGAAAGTTCACATTCGGATGGTGCACAGTTTCCAAGGCGTTTTACATGGAGTCGTCGCCTCACGCATTCTCTTCAACTTACGAGACGCACTCCACAATCAAGGGGATGTCGTCACGTTTTCAATGTCTCGCATGCAATTCGCCACCATACCAAAAGGCGTGACACAAGGAGTCGAGTCGTCGGCTTAAAAGGACAAATAAGCTAGTTCCTGCAGTGTATGTAGACATTTCTGCATCCATCGTTCTTTCTAAACACCGGCACGTTCGTCGTCGTTCCCTATATGTAGCCCCCCATCGCACAACCCCTGCCCTGAGGATCAGCGATCAACACGATTGTTTTGATCATCTTGTGCATGAGCTATTACCACTCACGATGCCCTCACTGCCAGTTCCACGGGCGTTATCCGTCCCAATGTGAGCTACTTCTTGAAGTTGGTCGAACGATCGTCGTTGGTGTCATGGCCATTTGTCGCTGGGCAGTTCTATAATGTCGTGGAGGTTGAAAGCACGACATTCTGACGAGCTCCTAGTTTGTCCTATGTAGGCAATAATGATAATCACGAAACGTGGACAATCATATCGGAACTGAAATGCTGTAAGTATATGGAAGAATTCCCTTGCAAATGGTAAGAACGGACAGGGTGGTTCAACCATATGACAGACAGGTTGTTGAAATGGCCAAGTCAGTTCAAGGACGGGTGGCTCGACAACTTCAAAGTAAGTGCGGGTTTTCCCAACCAGACGCGGTGCATTCGGCAGGGATGATATAGACCAAGCGGGTGGAAAATGCGGGACATGATCTCTGGAAATTGGATAACACCCCTCGATTGACTTATAAAAACAGACCATTGTCATATATCTGATGTTCTTGTGTCTTTGTAAATTATAGACAAACACGGACGAGGTTCGAAACCACAAAAGAACGCCTTACCAGTGTTGCCGAGCCCATTTATCCACTGGTGTCCGTTCTCGCTAATTGCAGGCGTGACTTTCCCGATCA